CAACACTTTGATAGAATCATCTCTGCTCGTGCTCTCCCCCCCCCCCCCCCCCCGATCCCCATCAGCTGTCACTTGTGAATCGGCCGCTTTTATTCGCTGGCGTTCCCTCTGATTATTTCACTCTTTTTTTGCTCACACATTGTAGTTTCTTTATGCACTGCGTCCCCTCATATAGTCTTAATACTTGTCAATCAGCTCCCTGAAGCCTAATGAGGCTGTTTGAGATTGTTGTCCTGTTTGTTTTTCCTGTCAGAGCGGCACTGGGAGCTGCTGTCTCCGTTTGAACATTCCGTCGGCAGTCAGCCGTCGGCTTTCGGTCGTGCGGGGAGCTCCGTCTTGCTTGCAGCGTGAACTTTGCACACCGTGCTCTGTGACACATCACATGTCTGCCTTGTTACCCAGATCCTGAATAACGAGGCCGTGTTTATATGAGTATTTGAACCTGGTCATGATGGAGTTTTAATGTTGTTAACAGCCTCTTGTGGGCGGGGGGTGTAAGGAATGACTCCTGGTGAGACCCCCCCCCCCAGTGTAACATGAGATACACACAATAGTCAGCTGAAAACACGCAGCAGCAGAGCTGTGCGCCCGCCTGCAAGTGAGTATGCAGGTCCCCCCCCCACCTGTTAGCAGGTATTGTCTTAGATGAGCCCTGCTCTCCGAAAGCTGTCTTGGTTCAGTTCCAGTCTTCAAACCCCGCAGCTGAGATCACATGGTACGTCTGAGCCGGTGCTGCACATCCACTGTGTCTCTCATTCTCTCAAGTGTTTGGACCAGTGGGGCGTTTTTTTTCTTTTTAAAGAACAGGGCTGCAGGTGATCCTGCGGTTTAAGGATGTGCCTGTATGAGCTGAGAGGTCCGGCTGTCGTGCTGCGGCAGGAGGTATTAAATACGAATGGTAGCAGTGAAGTTTTATTAGTGGGAAAAATGGCAAACTGCTATGGGTGAATGTGTCAGCTAAACAACTAAGCGTCATGCAGGGGGGGCTGCCCGTCTGTGAGCACACAGTGTGTGACAGATTCACTCACACACACACACACACACACACACACACACACCATTCTTGCCATCTTCACCGCCACGGGTTGTCACGCGACATCAGACGCCCGAAGTCATTTATTTGATTGTGTATCTTTCCTCCCTCCCTGTCTCTCTCTCCGTTTGCCTCCTGTCTTTCTCTCACACTAATCTCTGCAGGTATTTCTCCTTGGCTGTATTATTAGAATGCAGCGACTGCTCTCTATTGATGCATGTCAGAGCCCCATTCTTTCATCTCCAACATTTAATTTACCGTCCTGTTGTGCCGCTAATCCCGTGTCGTGCCATTTCCTCCGCTCCTCAGATTGCTCTCTCAAAGCCCCTTCTCCGGCTGATAAAGAGGAAGGTAATCGCCATTGTCCGCCACAGATACACCGCTCCCCTCCCCCCACTCCTCCCGCCCAAAATTAAAGGGCCACCCTGCCCTCGTGCCCCCTTAATCACTGGCCCCACCACTCCGTGCGGGGGGACCCCGGGGCCGGCTCACTTTCATCGGCAGATGAGCTTCTGCCGGGGGTCCGGTAGCGCCATTCCTTAGGAGTTGCCCGGGGGCCCCCTAATGCCAGCGATTTTTATCTGGTGCCCGTGGGCCACCAGAACCGGACATTTCAGTCTGTATTACTCTCCTGAACTTGATTTCAGGGGCTTTGCCTTTATGAAGGAGGGCACAGTTTATTTTTTGACATTCCCAGACAGATCTGATCTTATTTTGTAGGTATATAGAGTTTTGTTCTTCAATCCACTTATGATCAGGAATCCAGTTTTGCCATTTCATTTCAAGATTCTGCTAACATATTCTTAGACTGTGCTTCCTTTCTAAGCTGTATACAGCTTTCTTAATGCCTAGGCTGCTTTGCAAACGGCTTCCATGCTAGCGGGAGTCATACAGCAGGTTGTTAGCTCCAATACTGCGCCCTCTATCCCTCCATCCCATTGTGATCAGGGGGGGAGCTGTAACCGTTCTCTGCTCTTTTTGGTGCCTTTTTCCTGTTGTTCTTGCCACTGTTAGGTTGTATGAGCTCAGGCCCAGTGGGGAAGATGGTGGCACAGGAGGTAGTGCTATCGTTCGGCAACTGGAAGGTTGCAGGTTCGAGCCCTGGTTCTTCCTGACCCTATCAAAGTGTCCTTGAGCAAGACACTGAACCCCAAATTGCTCCCGGTGTGCAGGTTGGCACCTTGCATGGCTGCCTCCACCACTGGCGTGTGGATGTGTGTGTGGATGGGTGAATGTGAGGCATTAGTTGTAAAGTGCTTTGAGTACTCGTAGGAGTAGAAAAGCGCTATATAAATGCAGTCCATTTACCATCAGGGTCAGGGTTGGGTGATGGTGCTCAATTATCTTCATGTCGTTTTATTTTAGCTGGAGTTTCCATCTGTGGTTGGATCTCTAAGTTACGACTCACCTTAGGTTTATAACAACTGCAGGAGAAACACCAGGGGCCTCAGTAATAAAAGTTGCGTACGCGCAAAAAGACACCCGAAATGTGCGTATACAACATTTTATGCAAAAGCCCAGATTCATCAAGCGATACTTGACAGGGAAAAACAGTATATTTGCAGAAACTGAGAAGGGGGTGTACGCAACATTTTGGACAAATTGGGAAAAGGCGACCCCCATTGTAAAGCAGGGAACTGCAGCTAAATGACCTCACCCATGCCAACAGTTCATATCATGAACCTTCACGTGAAAAAAAGTAAATCTAAAAATGTGAACTGGGATGTATTTTAATTATTATTATTTATTATTTGCCCCACTCATGACATAACAATAAAAATTATTTATATCATGGCCACGTTTTAATCTACCGTGGGAACGAATTAATAAAACGTGGCCGCGATTTAACTAAAATGAGGTAATGAATTAGTAAGATTTACTGAATGAATTTATGGCCATGATTTAATATATAGTTAAATGTGGCCACCATATATATAATTTTTACTATTGTGTCATGAGCGGGACTTTATTATTTTAATTATTATTTTGTTAATTTCTTTTTTTTTCCTCTATTGGGATTTTGTTTATTTGTGTAAGCCATTTATGTACATAATATGGACAGAAGTATTGGGACGCCTCCCATTCTAAATCCATAGGCATCAATATGGAGTTTGTCCCCACTTTGCAGCTACAGCTGCCGCTCTTCTGGGAAGGCTTTCCACAACATTTTCCAAGTGCGTGGGAATTTTTGCCCAATTCATCCAGAAGAGCATTTGTGAGGTCAGGCACTAATGTTGTACATGAAGGCCTGGCTTGCAATCTCTGTTCTGTTTCATCCCAAAGGTGTTTGATGGGGTTGAGGTCAGGGTGTGGGCCAGTCAAGTTCTTCCACACCAAACTCACCCAACCATGTCTTTATGGACCTTGCTTTGTTCACTGGGGCACAGTCGTGCTGGAACAGAAAAGGGCCTTCCCCAAACTGTTCCCACAAAGTTGGAAGCATAGAATTAAGAGTTCCCCTTCACTGTAACTAAAGGGCCTAGCCCAACCCCTGAAAAACAACCCCATACCATTATCCTTCCACAACCACACTTTACGTTTGGCACAATGCAGTCAGAGAGACATCTGCCAAATCCAAACTCATCCAGCAAACTGCCAGACAGAGAAGCTTGATTCGTCACTCCACAGAACATTTTTTCCACTGCTCCAGAGTCCAGTGGCAGTGTGCTTTACACCACTCCATTCGATGTCTGGCATTGCGTTTGGTGATGTGAGGCTTGCATGCAGCTGCTCGGCCGTGAAAGCCCAATCCATGAAGCTCCTGGCGCAGAGCTTTTGTACTGGGGTTAATGCCAGAGGAAGTTTAGAACTCTGCAGTAACTGAGTCAACAGAGCGCTGGCGACTTCTACACACTACATGCCTCAGCGACCCACTCTGCTACTTTACATGGTCGGCCACATCATGGCTGCATTGCTGTTGTTCCTAAACACTTCCACTTTGCCATAATACCACTTAAAGTTGACCGTGGAATATCTAGCAAGGAAAAAAAATCACACGTCGACTGAGGTGGTGTCCTGTGACAATACCACACTTGAATTCACTGAGCTCTTCAGAGCGACCCGTTCTTTTGCGAATGTTTGCAAACCTGACTGCATGGTTAGGTGCTTGATTTTATACACCTGTGGCAATGGGTCTGAATGAAAACCCCTGAATTCAGTGATTAAGAGGTGTGTCCCAATACCTTTATCCATACAGTGTATGTGCCGTGAAAAAATTTCAAATACTATGTCTTGTCACCTCTTTCCATAAATTGAAAATATCTGTAATTGTCACTAGTTGCACTAAATGTGAATTAGGCATCAGACATTATAATACATGGATCCTCTTATAAAAATAGCCTATAGTTACAAGAATGTGATACAGCATAATGGTGTTCTTGCTGGTAACTATGTAAACAGAAGGATTAGAAGGGAACAAGTCTTCATGGACCACCAAGATTATTTTTCACTTGTTCACTGTTTGTACTATGTGTAATGTCTTTGCACTTTGTTTTGCACTAAATGTATGTTTTCCTACACTGTGGGCAGAGGCTTAAAAACTGCTTTTGCAGCACTTTTCCTAATGTAATGTAATTGGGGCATTCGACTGTATTGATATTGCAATAAGGTTGTCTCAGATCAAAGTGTATGTATGGAATGCACAACTGTACAGCACACAGCAGTAGCATAGGTAGAGTTTGATGTTTGCACTGGGGGGAGCCCAAAAAATGAACTACTTGCTTACTCTATGTGTTAACGCATGGATCTGATGGACACATAACCAATCATTTTGTCTAGCTATAGGGTACCAGAAAACCGCCTATGCAAAGGCGTAATGTGCTGACACATGTAGTAAATAAACAGCTAGAAATCTATGTCATATACATTTTCTTGCTCGTGGTAGATGCTGTTTGGCCCCCAAATGTGACACTTTTTCTTTCCTCTACCTTGCACTGTTAAAAAAATCCTCTTTGTCTTTTATTTACAGTTTCCATTGCCGGACTTTGCACCCGGGGGCTGGAAGCAGGATTTCTTGCTTGGCTGGATAGATTTGGGCTAAATGTAAGTGAATGATGATAAATCAACTGAAAGCTCATATAATATTCAAATCAGGTCCCAGAAAGGCTTGATTTGCATATTATATGAGCATGTATTTCATTTGCATTGACCATTTATGGTCATTTGTGGGTGGCAACTGGGCAGGATCTCAGGCTTGGGCACGTACACGAACGTACAAGATGGTTCCGATTAATCATTCGGAAATTGCATTCATATGTGCGTACGCCAGGTTCGATGAATTCGATATTTTTTTCTGTGTGTGCATTCTTTTCTTTTTGTGCCTGTGCATTTTTTCATGATGAAATTAGTGGAAAGTTTGATAAATGAGGCCCCATGTAGGTGAGGGTGGGTTACTATCCGAGTAATTACATCAAGGAGCTAAGAGCTGAGGACGACAGAACCCTGCAGATCAGGGTTGGCATCCTGGCTTTGCTCAGGTGACTTAGAACGCAGCCCTGTGTTTGGGGACAGCTGTCCCCAGGGGCAGTCTGCTGAGGACCCTGGGGGTGGATGGGGCCTATGGGCAGCTGAGATGGCCAATGGTCTCAGGTTGATGGGTTTATATGCTTTCAGACTCCTCTGTATGATGTCACATTAAGTTCTGCCAGCTCGTCTTTGGCCATAACTGCAGCTGTTAGAATTTCCTCTGGATGCTCCTCTGCTTGCATTCAGCACCACCTGGCATGTTTTTTATATATTGATCTTCCCTCGTCTTCTTTCTGTTGACCCTTGAATTACCTGTATCCCGCCGTTGCTGGTGCACGCCTTCGCGGGATGAAGAGGAAACACAATCAATCTGATTCCACTCCATCCATCGCCTGGATCATCTAGTGGAGTCATTAACTTCACCTCTGCAGTCTCACCGCGTGCATGCAGTGAACCTCATTTTTCCATCAGTATATTGCCAAAACCTTTTTATTTTTGCGTATCATATGGAATAAATTATATATCAAAATGTTGTGATTCAACTGATGTGATTCTTTGCTGGCTCTGTTTTGAGCCCTGGAATTATGTCTTTGTACCCCTGTCTCTTTAAGGAGATTGTGAAGAAACTGACAGTCTGTTGAGCGGAAAAATGCTGGACCATGTTGGTTTTACCCCCCAAAAAAGCTGCACTATTAAAATCTCAGGACGCTCAGTGCTTCCTTTCTGCACCGATCAGGGCAGCATATGTTCAGCAGAGCTTCACCTTCCAGCATGTCCAAGGTCTTACTGAAGCTGAGGTCAGTTAAAGGCCCCATTATGACGACAAGAGCTTGTTCTCTGGCTTACGATTATTATTCGCTTGCACGAAAATGTTCTGAGGGCACAATAAAAAAATGATTGGTCCAGAGAAATAACCAATCAGATTGTTGAGGAGGTGGGCCCAAGACATCTGATTATTTGGCCCTTCCTCCTATAGTTGCCTTTACAATCTGATTGGTTATCTCTCTAGGCCAATCATTTTTCATTTTGTGTAAGTAAAATTCCCATGAGCTTATTAATCAGTCAGGTGACATGACAGGATGGGGCCACCTGAGTAGAAGCAGCATGTAAACTGCTTTCAGATCCACTGTCGCAATTCTGCCTCGGACCTCAGCTGTTTGATTCCTCCAGGGTTCAGTACTGAAGCGAACCCTCGCTATGGCAGCATCTGGCTGCTCGAGAGTCCTGGCTGCTCTGCGGGACTCAAGTAATTTGTCACCTGTAATGGCAGCCTGATAAAGCTAGAGTGCTGATGTCTGTCAGCCATCAGCGATGGCGCTAGAGTGCTGATGTCTGTCAGCCATCAGCGGAGGAGAAGAGCCAGAACCATGGTGCAATGATCTTTTCACAAACAAACACATGCACACAAAGCCAAGCGGCTTTCCGTCTGCGAGTAGCAAGCCACCCGCCTCGAGAGTCCCCCCCTGCAGGACCGTGACACTTAGTTTGGATTATGTCTCGAAGCCAGTATGCACACCACCGAAATGCGTCCCCTTATTAAGGTGCTGTGATGCCTCCTTCGGCTCGTTGAGGAGTGTTTGTCATTCGAAGCAAATTAATGGAGAAAATACCTTTGTGGCAGGGGGGGGGGCGGGCAGTGATTGCCTGTGATGTGTCTCGGGTCGTAATCCCAGGACAACAGATTAAGGTTTCTCTTTAAGCAGGGGAGGGGCCTAGTCTGGGCCCACTGTGGGTTTAATTAGACTTTTCTGGGAAGAGAGGGGCTTTAGGTGTAGCTAATTAAGATCATAGCCAAGGCTGGAATGGCTTAAACTGTGTGGCAATAGGAGTCAGGTCCCCAGGGAAGAAGAAGAACACAAGTTAGACATCCCTTCTATGTCCTGGAAAATTCACACTGGATGAGATAGGAGTTTATATAGGGGGCCCAGGGATTTCAGCTGCGTGCTTTATCCTTTGTATATGGGGGGGTGGGGGTAGGTGTGGAAGATCAAGGGCAAACACGTTGAACATGGTTTCCAGCACAGAAGATCACTCACCATTGGTTTTGTTTTGATGGACACCTCTGCCTTTAGCCGAAGGCCTTTCTTCGCATGCAGCCGGACCTGCAAGTTGACTGGGGCCTTGGGGGGGGGGGGGGGGTCATGCTATGTTGTAGGAAGCTTCAGTGAATCGATGAAACCCGACAGGGTCCAGGCGCATGTAAAGAGGGGCTTTTAGGAGCCGCGGGGAGCCCAGGAGCCAGCAACAGGCGCGGCGACGCCTGGCCCACACACAACTCTGATTCGGCAACATGAAAGGCTTGGAGTCAAACCGGAGCCTTTTCTTTCCCCGCAGGAGAGGGTCTGACACGGAGCGACTTTCCCAAAACCCTTGGCGTTAGCGCCGTCTGGTTAATTCTATCAGTCTATAGGTTTGGGGGGGGGGGGGCTGTGTGACTGAATGAGTGGGTTGGGTCTAGGGGAGTGGTTGGGGTGGGGCTTGAGGTGGCGGCAGGGTTTGTGAAATATGCCAGACTCATACTCAGTTGCGCTTTCATGATCAGTGTCTTTGTTTTCTGGGATTTGTTGTTTAATTGTTTGTTGCTATGAGCTAGATTCAGTTCTCTCCTGTTTTCTATTCATTCCTTCAATTAAATGAAACGACAATGTGGCTGCACAGAAGGCTTCGGTCTTGACTTATTATGAAAAGTCGTGTTGTTCTGCTCTTTACCAAATGGTTTAAGCTAGATGATAAATAGGAAGCTCTTTGGTTAAACACACTTTCAGCCAGGTGGAGAGGGAGGGCATCTCTGTCCTTCTCAGCTGGCCAGCTCGCTTTATTCACATGGCAGATGATTCTGGCTGCTTAGAGGAGACGTCTGGCCTGATCACCTTGAAAATACGAATCGGTTCACGTAACCCTCAGTGTTTCTGCCCTTTGGCTGGGTGGCTGTAGCCCGACAGATGTTTTTACTGCATCAGCTTTGGCTTGGAAATACAAACAGAAATTTCATGGCAAACTGTTCACCTATCATGTTAATGCATGTAATGGTACATTCTTCTACAGTGTGTGGTGGTTGTAATGTTATTTATCTTGAACCTTTAAATTTAGAGATGGGCTTTCTTCTGAAGACGGACCTTACTCTCAATCTCGGCCTTCCTGGCTGCCGAGTGAAGCTGTGCTTCTGTTGTCCCGTTCCCAGCCTGTCCCCATCTCCATCTTTGTAATTCTCCCCCCTCCATCCTCCTGCACCGCACTGTGGCTCCCTGACCACCTCTCACCTTTAAATCTGCCTTTTCATATTCCTCTCAGAGCCCCTCGTCAATGGGCACGGCGACTCCTGCGAAACGGCCTCTCTGGGCAAACAAGGCCTAAGAGAGAGAGAGAGAGAGAGAGAGAGAGAGGGCTACAGACACCATTGGAGGCAGATTAGCCAGCCCCCCCAAAGACCATGTCCTCTCTGCCCCAGAACCCCCGCCTTTTCTGCTGTAACCCCTCCTCTGTGGCCCCCGTTTGCTCAGCATGCTCTTCGTAGTCTCGTTCGGTGGCCGAAATTCCGATTCTCGCAGTCTGCGCATCCGAAATTCTTGGCCCAACATGTATTCCATCACGGTTGGGAGTCTGTCAGAGGATACTTGGCATTCGTGTAATAAAGGGCATAATGATGGGTGTTCTCTGGAGAAACATACTTCACTTGGGTTTAGCGGCCCGTGGGGAAGGTGTGTGTGGCAGCCATGGCCGTGTGTCACATCATTTATTATGTTTGTGACTCAGAACCCACTGAATCTGTTGAACATTTGAAATAAGATCAGAGAAAAGCACAAAATAGCATATCTACAAAACATGAAGTAAACCTTAAAAGTTATCTGCAAAGTATTAAATACTTACAACCTCCTGTACAGCAGCAATAAGTAAACTTAAAACATGAAACATGAAATAATATCGCCTTTTTTGAAATAAAGAAAAAAACCCACAAAGAACATTTGAAAGGCATGAAATGTTGAAAACTATTGCAATTACATTCATTTAAAAATTTTATACAAATGAAGTAAAGTGGGACCAAATAAAGTGAACTGTGAGCAGAACCATAAGCAAGTAATACTACTACTAATAATAATACTATTGTACTCATATTTTCAGCAAAGAGCCAAATTAACAGTAGCTGTGCATTAAAAAGGTTTAACATTAAAAGTTATAAAAGTTATAAAAGTTTTACTGTCTATCATATGCACTCGGGGAGCTATTTCAGATATATACGGAAAAAAATAACTTAGATTATTAATACACACACAGTACACAGTTTGTAGATATAGTTGTTTACATATACGGTAGTGTGCAAAAGTCTTAGGCAGTCAAAGAAAATGTTTAAAGCTATTTATCTGGGTAGCGAGTGAATTTTTACTCAGAAAAACAAGCAATTTAACATTTTGACATATGCAAATGTTGAGCTACACAATACAAACTAACAATTTTTTTTCTTCTGTTCTCCAAAAATGTACTGATATCTCCCCAAAACCTCTGCTCAGGGGCAGTCCAGCCATTCCGTGTATCTGTTAAATTTCACCACCAGCTCAGTTAGTATATCAATAAATAAATGAATGAATGAATGAATGAATGAATCAGTCAATCAATCAATCACAATTAATTAGTTGATTACTAATTAATTAATTAATTTGGTTAAGTTCATAAATAACTTGGTTAAATAATTAAATAAATCGGTTAAATGTGGTATTGATTAACCGAACATGGTCTGCTAGTGGTCAAGTCAGAATGTACATGGGTGTATTCAATGGTTGCTGCAAATACTAGAGTAACTAGCAGAGGTTTTTGTCTTGGTGGACACACTTTGACAGACATAATATCATAGCTTTACACCATAAAGATAATTTAAACATCATTTTCTTTGACTGCTTAAGACTTTTGCATACAGTACTGTATGTGGGCGCTAATTGCACCAAAATGTCATCTTAAAAAAACCGATTTGAAGCTTTTGAGGAGACTATGCAAGTGAATCCCCAAAAGTCTCGCCCCCCTGCCCGGATACTGACCAGCGTCGTGTGGGTCAGCGTCCTGTACTGCCTGAGGTCAGGAATGTACTAAGTGCTCCGGGTTCAGGTGGCTGGACGTGTTGCGGTTTGCCGGGGGAGAGGCGCAAGGGGAAGCACTGGGTTACCAAAGCGGGTGGTGGTGGCCCATCGCTTTGGTGCGGCGCGGAGCAGAGGAGAAGGCGGAGGGCAGGCGGGGGGGACACTGAGTGGTGCGGAGCCCCTACGAGTGCCAGCCGGGTCCAGCAGAGCACCTGCGAGGGAGCGCAGCCCTTCTCTGGGGAGCGGCCCGTGCTACACGGACACCTCACCGGACCCCTATGCACCATCACTGGCTTCAGCAGCCATGTTAAACGGAATATTCAAATGGTAATCGGTGAACCGTGAATCATAAGCCTAAGGTAAGCTATGTAATACTGGTAAGACGGTAAGTAGTATTTTA